CGTATAGCCCCCATATATGGGTACCCCCACTGTATTCGTAATTTTGATGATCTTAGCCACATTTTTCAATGGAATTGTCTGAAATTCCACAAAGCGAGTCCCTTGTGGGCATTTTACCCCCTCAATACAGGTCCACGATATCGTATATCCCCCATATAACTGTACCCCTCGATATTCGGTATTTTCATGATGTTAGCTACATTTTTCAATGGAATTGTCTTAAAATCCACACAAATAGTTCCTTCCTTTTGAGTACTTTACCACCTGAGAGAGAATTGTCTATACAGGTCCACGATATCGTATATCCCCCATATAACGGTGCCCCCCTATATTCGGTATTTTGATGATTTTACCCACATTTTTCAACGGAATTGTCTGAAAATCCATACAAAGAGTTTCTTGTGGGTTCTTTATACCTTGGCAGAGAATTATCTATATAGGTCCACAATATCGTATATAGGGGGTACCGTTATATGAGGGCTTATAACGGTACCCCCTATATTCGGTATTTTGATGATTTTAGCCACTTTTTCCAATGAAATTATCTGAAAATCCACACAAGGAGTTCCTTGTGAGTACTTTACACGCAGACATAGATTTGTCTTTATAGGTCCACAATATCGTATATCCCCCATATATCGGCACCTACCTATATTAGATATTTTAAAGATTTTAAAAGAATTTTTAATGGATTTTATTTTTTGAAAATTTTCTAATTCGTTCCAAATGGTGGAGGGTATTCAAAGCTCGGCCCGGCCGAACTTACTGCTTTTTTACTTGTTATTATTCAAGATGTCTACACTGGATTATTTTATCAGATCAACTGATGCTATCATTCAGTTCAAAATCGACTTCAATAATCTTCAAGATAAAGATTTGGTTCAATCTTCTGAAGCTATGTCGCTTGGGAATAAAGTGTAATATACGTATGAAAAAAGGCTTGCTTCTATTAAAATTGATAGCGAATCCCAAGAAACAGACCTCGAAGTAGTAAATATAATGCTGCATTTAAGGCATATGTCTAAATCATTGCATCAACCATTAGAAAATTGAACCAGTTTCGTGCTTCGCAAAATCCCTCCAATTCTTCTCCAATCCAATCCCTTCGTTCAAACTCTGATCATTTATCCCAAACAAATCCTCCATCGAATATGAATTCTAGTACTCCTCGAAGATATGGCTTGAATCCTGTTGATATTCACTCGTTACCTGGTGTTTCACACCAAACGGGAAGATCAGTTGAAGCTTTCGCTTAAAATGACAATGTTATGCATAGTATGAATCTTCCAGCTTGCGATGTTAATGTTTTCAGTGGTTATTTTCTTTCTTGGCCTACATTCAGGGATCTTGGCCCACATTTTTCGGCGATGTAAATTAACAACAGCTACCTTAGTAACATTGAAAAACTATGTTATTTGGTGGAAAAAAACTAGAGGTAATATCACAGAAGTTGTGATTTAGCGTGGCAAGCATTGAAGGAGGTATATGGCATATTAGTCAATAATCAACAAAAATTACTTTTTGATCTTCCGGTTCTTGACAATGAGTCTAGTTCTGGTTGAAAATATTTTCAGCGAGCAATCAATGGATGCATATCGGCTATGGCGATCTACGACGATTGGGATCCCATTTTAGTCTTCTTATGCATACAAACATTATCTAAAAACATCGTCTCGTTGTGGGAACAGACGTCAAAAACAAATCCGCATTGTCATCTTGGAAGGATTTGGATAATTTCCTTACGGAACGGATTCATTCTTCGAGTTTGTGTCAAGAATTCAAAAAAGTTCAATGGTTGTATTAAGTGTCTTACCATTGCTCATGAGGTCGAAAAATGTGTATGTAAACATAACAGCGGTAAATGCAACAAGCGGCATCACACCCTTTTACATCGCGCAATGTCCAATTCAGCAATTCCAGTTCCATCAACGGCTTCTTCGAGGTCGATTTCAAACCAACCTTCTCCCCAATCTAGCAATGCGAATTCAAATCTTCCCTCGACTTCGTCAGGTGTACCGCACTCTGCCAATGGGCAAGTGTATCATATTTCGCACAACAAAAATGTTATCTTAGGTACAGCAATGGTCCTTTTAATTCATTAAGGTACGTTAATTGACCCAGCTTCTGAAACTTCCTTCATTACTGAAAACTTGCAAAGTCGTCTTGGTATTTCTATTACGTCGACAAAAGCTACTATTTCTGACATTAACCAAACATTACCCACAACATCAAGAAAATTGTCTTAGTTATGCATAGGTTTTCCCATCGATACATCCATATTCATGGAATTGTCACCATTTTTTACTTGATAGTCACTCAATTTCCAAATATAACTTTGGTAGATAGAAACTCTATCGAATATAGATTAGTTGATCTACTCCCAGGCGCTGATCCTAGAATTCTCCGAATCCAATCCAACTTTTAATGGTGATTAATGGCTCAAAATACATTATTGGTACAATTCCCTCTTCCAACATAACGGTATTAACTACCACAATAAATTATTCCGAAGATAATTATAAAAAGACACTTTTTCGATTCTGGGAATTGGAAGAACCTTTAAAGAGCACAATTCTGTCTCCTTCGGAAAGTTTTGTGAGAAAAATTTAAAAGTACATCGTGTCGGGACTTAGACATCAGAATTCTCAGGTCACCTAAGTCATTCCAGGAACAACTGTTTAAGTCAATTTTTCTGTAACGAGGCTTCCCTCATTAGAAAACCACAAATTAAAGACATTTATGATGGGGTTGTCCGGGAATACGTAGAATTAGACCACATGAGACTTGTTTCGACTTTCTCAGCAAGCTCTACGCTATCATCCGGTTATTAATGCGGATAAACAAACAACAAAATGATCAATGATATTCTTTATGTCGGCCCAACTCTTCAGTTAGATTTAGTCCTCCTTATTGTAAGATGGACGTTGCACAAATGTACGTTTGTAAATGTACAAATTAGAGTAGACGCTGCTCACACTTCCCTCCAAAGAATTGTTTTTCGGGATTCTCCCGACAAGCCGGTTCAAGACTTTAAACTTCAAACTGTAACATTCGGAGTAAATTGTGCTCCATATCTTGCCATTCGGACCTCACTACAATTGGCCGATGACGCATCGCATAAATCTAGAGACCAACAAATTGGTGTTCAAAATTTTAATTACGTAAATAACAGCCAATGAATGCAGTATTTTAGAATATTTTCCGTCAGACCATCTTTACGACGCAAAACTTCTAACTTTCATGGAAGCTAGCAGTTCAAAGCCGCTGAGTATTCGTTTGGATGACCAGCTGGACGATTTTCATTTTAGTGTAGACGAGCTGAAACATCGGTCCAAATATACTAAAGGGAAGTTTTGTCAACCATCGCAGAATTAGTTGATCCAGTTGGATGGCTAGAACAACATTGGTTGGGATGATTATCTTCCGTCTTCGACAGAACGCGAATGGCAAAAATTCGTTCAATCCTATATTGACGTAAATTCATTTTCTATTCCTCGTTGGGTCCAATATTCTCCGAACTCCCAAGTCGAACTTCATGTCTTTTCCGATACCTCAGAAAAGGGATACGCGGGGATAGCCTACATTCTTTTTATAAATTCAAATGGCAACGTCTTCACAAATCTGCTCTCATGCAAAACAAAAGTAGCTCCTCTCAAATATATTTCTTTACCTCGATTAGAACTATTACCTCGATTAGAATTCGCATCCGAACTTCTAAAAAGCATTCTAAATGACATTGACATTTCTTTTAACAACCGATTCTACAATTGTTCTTTCTTGGCTTCAAAAAACGCCATCAACATGGTTTACTTTCGTAGCGAATAGAGTGTGTCGTATTCAGGAGAATGTTGGGTAAAATAAGTGGTTCCACATTCGGTCTGAAGACAATCCTGCAGACTTAGGTAGTCGGGGTCTTTGTCCTTCGGAGTTGGCCTCATCTCAAATTTGGTGGCATGGACCACAATGGTTAAGTCTTGATAGTTCAAATTGGAATATTCAAAACGTCTCCCTTAACATTGATATCGAACTTCGCCCAGTTCAAAGTCATGCAACTTTCATTCAAAACTATGAAGATATCTTAAATCGATTTTCTTCCATACATATGGAGTTCCGTTCACTACGTAAAAAGCCACTCGAATTCGAAGCTGCTGTCAAAAAATTTAAACTTACATTTGAAGAGTTTGCAACAATATTAACAAGAATTTAAGCTTGTTTAAATTCTAGCCCAATGATTAGTAATCTTGATGATACGGCGGCCCTTATGCCTGGAAATTTTCTTTTCGGGTCTCCAATCCTTGCTCCCCCAGAGCCCATTATAAATAAATCTCCCTTGGATAGCGTGAACTGGTATCGAAAATTAAAAGCGCTCTCTCAAAAATTCTGCCTTCAAGTCCGCTCACTCGAAGGTTATTAAATCTCAAACACATTCGAGTCCAGGGTTCCCCTTGGCTCAACTTACTATCTTTGGTTGGGTGGTATGCGGTCCTTGCTCACTGTGAAGTTGCCCCAGATGATCGGCCTAAATCGGGACCCATGGTCTATAACTTGTGGAAGGCAATCTATTGCCTTTATGGTTCATCGACCATAACATGTTTCTTAAAAAATTAAAATAGCCTGAATAAAGAATGCTCAACAAAATTGACACCTGTCATTTATTTGTACTTTAAATCTTTAGATTTAAGTAACATTGTTTTAACATCTCTAGATATTTCAAGACAAACGATATATACTTTTTAGGGTCTAACATGATTACATCGATGAATAATAAAAGGATACTATGCTGCAAATGTTGTTTTACTATAAATTAAAATAGATGTTTTAACTTTAATGAAAATTATCTTAATTACAACTTAAAGATTCGGTATATTTCGGTTCAATTTGACAAAAGTTAACCTGTATTAAATTATGGTTGATGTGAGAAATTATAACAACAAAATATATTTGTGTAAATTAGACTTGGGCATAAATAGATAGATTTAGATTAAAATAGTTTAACTTACCTCTTCACATAGAGCTATCATACGGCGGGTGCTTTCCAACGACTGAAATAAAAAAAAAAGAATAATTAATTGTTTTTGAGCAGACAACAGTACACATTAGGTATATATTCTACTTGAAAGCATGAACTCTCAACGTTTTATCAAAGAGAACCCATATTTAAAACATAAGAGCTTTAAAAATTATGTGTTTGTTTTTTTGCTTTTAATTTAACACGCTCCCAATAAAGACGAAAGTCTTCCTTTACACTTAATTTCTATGGAAAATGCCAAGAGATAAATTATTTTATATCAAATGTCTTTGTGATAGTCCGTACAAATAAAAATTTGTGTACTCAATATGTAGCATGAAAAAAATTATCAATTTTTGTAAATAATAGAACTTGTATATTTCTGAACCAATAAGCACTTTTTTTAATATTCTCATAATTTCTCGCCAGTAAGAGTAATCGTTTGTAGATCGAAACTCCACAGGAGTTTCCGGTCCTTAGGACAAATGTTTTTAAGGCCTTCATATTGTTTGACAGTATACAAATATCCCATTCAGACTAGTCTTTTTATACCCTCCACCATACTATGGAGGGTATATTAATTTTGTCATTCCGTTTGAAACTCCTCGAAATACTCATGTCAGACCCAACAAATTATATATATTCTTGATCAGCGTAAAATTCTAAGACAATTTAGCCATGTCCATCTGTCTGTCTGTTGTAATCACGCTATCTTTCGGACAAATTGAGATAGAAGGCTAAAATTTTGCACACATGTATATTTTGCCAATAGGCAGGTTAAGTTCGTAAATGGGCCATGTAGGTCCAATTTATCATATAGCCCCCATTTAACGCTACCTCCCGATATTCGGTATTTTGATGATTTTAGCGACATTATTCACCGGAATTGTTTCAAATTTGGCATTTGAAGTTCGTAATAGACACTGCAGCATAAAACAGAAAATGGGCCATATAGGTTTACGTCTTCATATAGCCCCCATATACCGTACCCCCCGATATTCGGTATTTTGATGATTTTAGCGACATTATTTACCGGGATTGTTTCAAATTTCGCATGTGAAGTTCATAATTGATACTTCAGCCCATGCCAGAAAATTGTCTGTGCAGGTTCACGTCTTCGTATAGCCCCCATATAACGGAACCCCCCGCCCCCCGATATTCGGCATTTTGATGGGCCATGTCGGTTCACGTTTTCTTATAGTCCCCACATAACGGTACATGTGGGGACTATACGAAAATGTGAACCGACATGGCCCATTTACGAACTTAACCTGTCTACTGGTAAACTATACATGTATGCAACATTTTAGCTTTCTATCTCAGAATATATATATTTTGTAGGGCCTATTATGAATATTTCGAGGATTTACAATCGGAATGACAAAGTTAATATACCCTCCATAGAGTGGTGGAGGGTATAATAAGAATAATTGCAAAGTGGATAGATTTCGAACCAATCCAACCTTCGCTTACAATGTCGGTAGATTTCGAGCCCATTGTCTGACGGCCTAGGCCATCGCTGTGTTAATGTAAGTAGAAATTGTATACAGGGTTTGGATGAGTCAGTGGTCTCAGTTGGAAGATGTATGTGCAAAAAAAAACCGCTGGGATTAAGTGTAAAACATTAAAATATGTTCACTTATCCGTGAAAATTCTTGGTAGGGGTGAAAAAACATATAAAATATAACAAGTAAAAAAGCTGTTAGTTCGGCCGGGCCGAACTTTGAATTCCCTCCACCATGCAAAATTTGAAAAAAATCTGTGAATAATGTAGCTGAAATCATCAATATACGGAGGTACTATTACATGGGGGCTATACCAAAATCTGGACCTGCACAGACAATTTTCTTCCTTGGGCTGCAATATCCATTACGAAATTCAAATTCCATATTTGAAACAATTCCGATGACTAATGTCGATAAAATCATCAAAATACCGAATATTGAGAGGTACCGTAATATGGGGGCTATATGAAGACTGTAGTATTCATTATGAACTTCAAATACCAAAATTGAAACAATTTCGATAAAACGAAGACGCGGACCTGCACAGACAATTTTCTGTCGTAGACTGTAGTAGGTCCACATTTTCATATAGCCGACGGTACCGCCGGTATTCGGTATTTTCATGATTTTAGCAACATTTTCTTATGCAAAGGTCTGAAAATCCACACAAGGAGTTCCTTATGCAGATATATATATATATATATATATATATATATATATATATATATATATATATATATTCGAAATTCGGTTTTTTGATGATTTTAGCCACAGCGTTTTTTTTTTCTCTATATAGGTTAACTATATCGTATATCCCCCATAAAACGGTACCCCCGTTACTCGGTATTTTGATGATTTTAGCCACATTTTCCAATGATATTGTCAACCAAACGATATCGTGGGCCTATATACATAATTCTCTTCGAGGGGTAAATCCCCATAAAACGGTACCCCCCATATTCGGTTTTTTTCATGATTCCAGCCACATTTACCAATGGTATTGTCTGCAAATCTACAGATATAGACAATTCTCTTCCTAGGGATAAAGTACTCACAAGAACTTTATTGTGTGGACTTTCAGACCATTCTTGGAAAATGGGGCTAAAATCAAAAAAATACCGAATATCGGGGGGTACCGTTATATGGGGGCTATACGATATCGTGGACATATATAGATAATTCTTTTCCAAGGGATATAGTACTCACACGGAACTCCTTGTGTGGACTTTTAGGCAATTCCGTTGAGAAATGTGGGTAAAATGATTAAAATTCCGAATATTGGGGGTACCCTTATATGGGGATATACGATATCGTTGACGGTATTTTAATAATTTTACCCATATTTTTCATCGGAATTGCCTAAAAATCCACACAAGGAGTTCCGTGTGGGTACTATGTCCCTTGGAAAAGAATTATCTATATAGGTCCACAAGAGAATAGTATAGCCCCCATACAACGGTACCCCCGATATTCCGGATTTTGATGATTTTAGCCACATTTTTCAACGGAATTGTCTGAAAATACACACAAAAAGTTCCTTGCGGGTACTTTATCCATTGAAATATAATTATCTATATAGGTCGATGCTATCGTATAGCCCCCATATGACGTTACCCCGCGATATTCGGTATTTTGATGATTTTAGCGACATTATTTACCGGGATTGTTTCAAATTTCGCATGTGAAGGTCATAATGGATACTTCAGCCCATGCCAGAAAATTGTCTGTGCAGGTTCACGTCTTCCTATAGCCCAAATATAACGGTACCCCCATATTCAGTATTTTGATGATTTTAGCTACATTATAAACAGATTTTTCTTCAAGTTTCGCATTTAAATATTGTAATAACTTATGACAAAAGTTGCCTATGCAGGCCCACGTCGTCGTATAAGCATTCGGTATTTTTAAGATTTTAACAGAATTTTTAACGGATTTTATTTATTTATTTATTTTTTTTTTTTTTGGAAATTGCCAAATTTGTACCAAATGGTGGAGGGTATTAAAAGTTCGGCCTGGCCGAACTTACAGCTTTTTAACTTGTTAGTATTTGTATATCGTCAAACGTTGGTATGTGGTTGCTTCTTTGCAGAGTTCCGCAAGCCGGTGTTATACCAAAGATGTTAGACCCAACAAGGCATATATATTCAAGATCAGCGTAAAATTCTAAATCGATTTAGCGATGTCTGTCTGTTTGTTGCTTGTTTGTACCTTGTTAAAATGTTTTGTGTGCTTTTCCTGTCATTCGGTTTTGAAGTTTATTTTAACATTGTTGAATTTTTTAATAAACCTTTTTATAGAAATCTTGTATATTACGGATTTTTAATTTAAGAGCTTGTGGACTCACGGTAGGTTCTTACTGAGTGAGATAATTACACAGAAATAAGGAGATTATCTAACAAAGGTTATGGGCGCAGATTTCCGAACATCTTAAATTTAATTTTGCAAATTGGACATCTGGGAATAAAGGGAGTAAAATGGCTAATTCTGTGGCTACCATAGAGAAACTAAACGGCGAAAATTATGGAACGTTTTGTATCCAGGTAAAGAGCTTGCTAATAACGTTAGATCTATGGAATACTATTGAGTTGTTGGTGCTGCTGAAAAAGCAATTTGGATGAATAATGATAGAAAATCTTTAGCAACGATAACCCTCTCTGTGAAAGCGAGCGAATTAATACACATCAATAATTGTGCGACAGCTAAGGAAACATGGGATGTACTTAATTCATTATACAAGGCTGACACCGCATCCAGAAAGGTGAAGTTATTCAAGAAGTTGGTTAGGTTCAAGTTCACACATGCTGAGAAATTTTCAGTGCAAATAAATGAATATTGTTCCAGGTTTGATGAATTAAAGGAAATTGGAATAAGTTTGAATGTTCATTTATTGACCATTTTATAGCTCTGTAGTCTTCCCGATGAAATGGAAGGTTTTGTAATAGCTATTGAGAGCAGAGACAAACTACCCACATATGATAATTTAATTTCCAAGATTTTGGAGGAAGAAACTCGACAAGGCGACAAGACTGTGGATAATGGCGAGACTGCGTTTGCCGCAAACTCCAAGAGCGGTAACAAAAGTCATTATAAAGATCCAAATTATAGTCATAATCCGCAAAGTGGAATACATTCGCAACAAGCAAAACCCAATTTCAAAGATAAGAAATCGCCTATATCAAAACTGAAGTGTTTTCGTTGTGGTAAGATAGAATGCATCCGATCTCAATGTAAAAATGGTGATAGTGAGAAGAGAAGAAGAGATTTTGCGTGTTCCTTATATGATAATAGACCGAAAATTGCAACATCATGGATTCTAGATAGTGGGGCGACATCACATATGTGCAGAAACAAACTATTTTTTCAATCATTGACAGAATATATATTGGCATCTGAGGAAAGTATTTTTGCTGAAGGAATCGGTGATATTAAATTGCAGACTTATACTACAACTCTGATATTGCGAAACGTATGGTATGTACCACAACTTCATTCAATTTTCTTATCAATCTCAAAGATAATCAAACCGGGC